GTGGAAGGTGGAGGCAGCCCGGGCCCACCTGCAGGTAGTCCACGCGGGCCAGGCTGAGCTCCATAGGGCCGGCGGGGAGCGGATCCCACCCGCGGCCGCTGCCTCAGCGCTGCCTCAGGCTCCCGTTACCGCGGCAACCTCAGGCGGCGGTCCGCATCGCCCCGAGGCGGCTTCCCATTGGCTAGGCCTGACGGCGAGGAGGCGGGCCCGCGGCGAGCCGCGCGCCGCCATTGGGCAGCGTCTGCCGGAGGGGGCGGGGCCCGGGCTCTCGGCAGCCGTCTGGCGGCCTGAGGAGAGGCCTGAGAGGAGGCGGCGGGCGGCCCCTGTCCCCCCCCCGGCCCTTGGGTGCCAAACTAGCAGGACGACGTGGAGTTATCAGTAAAGTAGGAATATTTTATTTAACAATGAAGCGTCGGAGGCATTGTTTGGAACAGTGTAACAAAATACCAGCCCTGGGCGGAGTCTGAATTTAAAAAAAAAAACCCAAAACCATTTCTCCCACATAAAGAGTAAGAGTAGCTTTGGACTGAGTTCATGTTACCTTCCAAAGTTGTTGTTGTTGGTTTTGTTTTTTCAAAAAAAAAAATTCTAGTCCTTCCTTGAGAAAGTCAATATGCTGAATTAAGAAACAGTAGTTGTGGGTACATGTACATACATATGTGTTAAACAGTGCTACTACCATTACATTCACACTTTCACCCGATTTTCATGAATTCCTTGTGATCATACCGCGAGTTCTCAGCTCATACGCATTACTAGCATCGCTAACAAAGAACAAAGATTTCAAGTAATCCTCTACTCATTGCTAGTTGATTTACGGTATTACAAAAAATCCTATTCATACCCAGTTGCGGCAAGGAACAGAGTACTACACTGTATATCTGTTATTTTAATTTTTTCTTGCAATCTTAGTGCAAAGAATTCTCAGTATGTATTCATAAACCTGTTAAAATATCAGCAATTCATACCATTATACCTTTTTAATGCATAAATGCAAAAAAAACCCCCCAAAAACAAAAACCAAACCAAAAACCAAACAGATGGTAGTTCTTGCTTTCAGACAATTAAAATTGAGAGTGATATTTTCATGGTGAGTTAATAAAATTTCCTAAGACTAAGTTCCAGAGAAGCTGTACATAAAGTTATTTAGTGCTAAAAATCTACAATACGTTTTTCAAGTATAAGATACTGAAATATTATTGCCAATAAATAGTTGTGCTGTAGTCAAAGCCATGGTTCCTCTGTTGAATCATTCACATCTCAACATATTAGGATTTAGTTTCTCACTGAGTTTATGTATTAAAATTGCTAACTCTTCTGTTGCTTGGGACTTATCCTCCAAAAGTTCGTAGCGAAGACTGGAGATATCCTGTTTGATTTCCTTTAATTCACCTGTATTAATCATTGAAAGAAATACTTGTTAGCAAAGTTTAACATTCATTCGATAATGTTAAGTCACATCAGTGCATATTTCAGATTATTATCTCAAAATGTTCACAAGAGCAGGTACAGGGGTGGGACAGGAGGCTTCGCCTCATCATTCTCAGTGAGATGTGTGTCTCCACCCCTAAATAGTACCAAAGGCATTTTAATAGTACATTGAACTCTGATGTTGTGCTCCACGTGTATACAGAACATCAAAGATTCAAACAGTGCTTTACATAGGTTAATGAATTAATCACGGCAACACTGCTGAACAGCTGGTAAATATTAGTATCCCCCTTTTAGAGAGAAAAGGCAAAGAGATTTTTTCTGAAGTGATGTGCCAAGATCACACAGAAAAAGTGTGGCAGAGCTAGCAGTAAAACTCACAGCTTCTGAGTCTCTCTCCTCTTCCTTACCAATATCCTTTGAATTAGAAAGTCAACCAATTTAAAATTATGTTACAATGTGACACAAGTACACAAGACACAATTAAAAGAAAACAATTGTCAAGGCCAGGGTCGTAACAAGCAACAGCATGTTTTCCATTATAGGATACTAAGTTCAAGAGAAGTTGTTTTAAAAATATTCAAATACTATCCTTCCAGCAAGTGTGAAGTATGTGAATTCATACACAACAGCCACCACAGGAGACTATTTGCCCCATATGAAATCGAAGACTATGAAAGAATACCTAAATTCTCTAGTGATGCAAAACAGGGAAAAATCCCTAGACTTATGTTTAAAATAGCTGCAGTACCTAAGAATGCAGAAGTTTTCTGTTTAGCATATAGCAGACTTAAAAAATTTTATCTTCAAAGGCTGGATCTATACTTTGGGTACCAATGAGATGAGGATGACACAAAAAACACCACCTCTGCTATGCAGCTGAAGACTGAGGTTCAGAGGTTAGCTGACTTGCTCAAAGCGGAATTCCCTCTATGAAAATTGGTGACAAAGTGAGAACCATGATGTCCACAGACCATGATTCTTCCACGCTGTCTTGCTTATCTAAACACGTATATGCCAACACCAAAGAGGCGCCAGGGAACTGGAAAGACTTGTACGCCCTGGCACTGTTATTGAGAGAACAGTCTTTTCATCAGTCGCTAGATAGATGATTTCCCCCACCACAGAGCAGGAGGAAAGCAGTGGGAATTCAAGAGAGGGGCACAATGAGAGGAAGACACTTTTAGGAGCTTCTCTGCTTTTGTCACTCACAAGCTCAGCTCTGTACAGCCACATAGGATGGGGAAGAGTCAGGATAACCATCAATGCACAATGCTGCCTTTTGAAGGCACAGAGTGGGATTTAATTCATATCTTCTTTTCTGCTCCCTGCTTGTCGCTGCAGAGAGTTATAGGTAAGCAGAATAACTACCAAGCAAAACAAAAGCCATGCCGCCTTAGCCGAGAGCGAGCGCATTCAGGCCCCTCACATCACATATGCACGCAGCCGTCTGATGCTTCCATGCCAGTAAAAGCTGTTCTGATCCCAAGCTGTCACTGCACACCAGCTGGAGAGCACAAGGCTGCCAGCAAAGTGGCTTAGGTAAAGGTTCCCAGTGCACCGAAACCAACTACAGTAGCCCAGACAAGAACTAGGTATGCTAAGCAGGTATGTTCCTCTGGTGGCGGTCACAGAGATTTCTTACTGGCTGAACTGTGATGGTTATAACCTCCAGCCTATGGGGAACAAAACTATACCTGGGGTGTTACATTTCCAAGAGCAAAGCCAGCCCTGGAAGGGACATCATTCTACTGCCTAATAGTTTTAGCTAGAGTACAGAGTAAATAATGACCTATGTTGCACACACCCCTATTATTTTGTTTGGGGACCTGCCCAGAGCTCAAGAGTTTCTTTTGGTCTGTAGGCCTGTGTTTCATTCCTGGAAGGCTGGAGGAAGGAAGACAGCATTCATCTTAGTGTCATCCCAATGGGGAGTCAGGGTGCGTGTCTGGAGCATGCACCCCTCACTGCCACCAGGGAAGTTCTGCACTGTTACCAGACACCAAGCTCAGACTTATTATTGCTCTAAAGATCTCCGGTTGCACACTAAAAGAGTGGCTACAGTTGTCATTTTTCTCACCATGCAGCTAACTCTATGCAGCTTTGTTTAATGATATGCAGCTTCACAGATGAATATTCCACACAGCTTTATGAAGGAAGGTAACACAAGTAGTTAATGCTGTAAAGTGGTAAATTGTGTGTTCAGTTGGTGTAAATTGTGTGTTCAGGTGAATGAAACAGAGAGAAAGATGCCCTGCAGGTCTGACTAGGACTCTGGAAGTGTGAACACAGTTAGTGGCTTCCTCACAAATTTCCTCTGTAACTGTACGCCACGTCTGTGCTCTTGTTCTCCACCTGTAAAACTAGGCCCGTAATACTTCTCAGTTCTACTTCTTTGCTCCTGCTCGTCCATTTTTGTTATCACAGGCATACTTCCACTACTATCTGAGTTCAGTGCATTTGAAGTAGAAATAAACCATCTTTTTATCTGAGACCTCCATGCACCACTGTAATAATGATTCCTAATACGACGTGACAAAAATTGTCTCTGAATGTTGCAAATGCAGCCTCTTTCTTACCTTCATTTACTTCATCATTTTCTTTGTCCACTTGTGCTTTCAGAACATAACGTTTTATCAGTCTTTTCATTATTTGCTGCCAGAATAAAACAGTTATATAATCAGGTGAGCATAATTAAACACTAGTCACTTTTCTTTCTTAACCATCTCCCTCACATCTGTATAAGTGAAAGAATGAACAGCCCCAGAACAAGCAGTTGCCTCATATGGGCTTTTTTGCTGGCAAGCTGAGATTCATCATTACAATAAAGCACCTTTCTCATCCAATTACCTCTTATTTACAGAGCACCACAACTTTTTGTGGGGAACAGGACAACAGGAAAATAGGCCTAAACACACCTAATTTAGGCTTTAAATAGCTTCAGAATAGGTTTACTCTTTGTTAAACTCAGTTCACATGTGAAAGGATGTGTAATAGTAAGAGATAAATATTCACCTTTGAAAAAGAAAAAAAGTTGAGATTTTACAGTATGACGGTGCAATGTCAGTTGAGAAGGATTCATTAACATTATATCTGTATTTTTATACCATAACTGCCAAGGTTCCTTGTATGTACTGATATTCTTGTATTGTGTTACCATACCTAATCTAACGTAGCTCATCTAACAGAATTTGCACAGGTGGATTACACACCTTCAACACCTTCACTATGGGAACAAGAGCTCCTATTTACTCTTCTATTTCTGAGCTGGAAAGAAGACAGGAAGGTAACATCTGACAGACTCCTCTTACCAGAAAGGCGCATTTCCATCTGCAGGAATGTTGAATGTCACCTCTCAGATCATGAGAAGAAAGGATGGGAAAGTAACGCTAATCTAGTCAGCTCAATGCTTTCACATCCCTTCCTCCGAAATCAGCTTCAGATATTTGCCTCTCACACTTTCCAAACTGGGACATCAAAGGAAAATTTGATTTTGTATGGGCTAGTTTGTAAACACTTCAAATAATGGGGCTTGAACAATAACTGTCTTTTTGCCAGTAGCATCCTGGAGTTTGATTTCTACAGGAGGTTTTCTTTGTCTGGTGAAGGCAAAGTGTACTTCAAACAAAAAATTCTGCTAGTACCTTCACACAGCTCTATTACTCAAAACAGTGACCGCTGTATGTACTTACCTGATAGCGTGTCGGCTGATTGAGAATGCTGTTAAAACTGTGTGATTCAAAAACTCTGGAGTTGGACTGAGTGAAAAGGTTTAACTAGGAAGAAATAAGACAAAATTAAAATATGCTATGGAATTAACCATTAGAATTCAGCTCCATTTTTTTTTTCTTGGAGACATCTTGGGGATGTCTCCATAGTCACTGTATCAGAATATTATCGCCAATAAACTGAGATTGCCTTGACTTATTTGTTGGGTTTTTTTTTAAACACTGATAATTTTAGCCATCCTGTTCACAGCACAGCTTCAAAGCAGATGTGCATGCACAGCTGAGGAAATAATGAATTATGACTTGGAGGCAGGGGTAGAGTGGCCAGAGCAAGGAGAGACTCTCTAAACTGGCTTTAACAAAGAGCTGTTGCGGATCTGCACTCTTAAGCATACTTTTAACTACAAATACGTGCTCAAAATAATTTCTGCTTAGTTCAAAGTGGTCTTCCAAAGCACCATTTTCAGGAATAGTAATACATTTAGAAAAATGGTCATTGTTCAGTTATTTGAGGATCACAAAGCTGTCAAATCCCAATTTAAGATTTTTGTAGAAGTGGGCTAGAAACAGAAGTGAAAAAAGCCACCTTGGACAAGATGGCTTTGTGACCAACGCAGAACGTTTGTTACTACCAAAGCAGGGACCTAACTGTTCTGTCAGATACACGTTTTTTACTTCACCCTCACCAGTGTATCCATAGAATAAGGTTCAACCCCCTAATCTACATCTGTCATTAATTTTCTGTGTGGCCAATTAAAAGTCACTGAATTAACAATCACTGATCTCTCTAGTGGGTTAGGGGAGCAAACTGAACTCAGCCTGCCTCTATATAGTAAACCTGATGCTTCCCATAACTGCCATGGGTTTTGTGCCTATACTACATACAGACTGTCACTTAAGCTGGGCCACAAGTGGGCTATTTTTACCTACTCCAGGTTGCCCACCTTCTTGTGGGCAATGAGACATCAGCTCAGCCACCATTTTTTAGGGAGTGGGACAGGATTATGAGATATGCAAGGACTATATAGGTGATATATGTGATACAGAGGGACTATGTGATACATAGTGTGCCAACCCAGCCTGACACAGAGGAGGCTGTAGGCTGCCTTTTGCAGAGAAAAATAATTTGGTTTGTAGTTAAAGAAAACTAGCTCCACCTGACCTGTCTCAGCAGCGACTCAGACAGGATTTTAGTTCTTTAGTGACTAACATTCTAAGTATGATAGTAAGTACTGCTGTATGATATATAAGCACTACTGAATGTTTTGTAATAAAAGTATATCTTAGGGTGTTGATGTTTCTTTGTTTTGTTTTTTAAACACATCTTCTGTACAGCGACTGCAGAGAACTAATGCAGTTCAGGCACTCAGAGCACTAAAAAGCAGAAGATGAGCAGTTAGTACCGAAAAAGTGCTTCTAGCTAAACTGATTTAAACTGACATTTTTATAAACATGTATCTACTTCCACTGCCTACCAAAAACTGGAGAAAATGTTTTCTTTACTGAAGGTTCAGTACCACCAACACCTCAGAAGTCCTAGGCTCCAGAGAAATCTTTCAGAAAAGATGACTAGACTTGACATTTCTGATAATTTATAGTAAAACAAATAATTATTTTCAAGGTATTGCTTTCAGTCTTTGTAATACACAGGGCCTTGAGCCTAACTTATAAAAGAAGCCACATATATACTCTTTAACCCATCTGTGCCCCAGTTTGCCATCAGCAAAACAAGGCGATTTGTTATCTAACTCTCACAAGGGCTTTGTGACACTGCATTCCATTAATATTTGTAAAGAACATTTAGATCCCCAAATTCAGAATGTCATGGAAGTGCTGAAGATTATTATTACACCCCCCCCTTTCCTGTTGTCTTTTGTTGAGAACATAGCTTTTGACAGGAGAAAGTGAATATCATACTGACCACACTTTATCCTTTTCCTGTCCTAGTGAAAGGAAGTTTTCTCTCCTTATCCTCCCCCCCCCCTTTTTTTACCCTGAACTAAAAATCTTTCTAATGGAGGCTGAAAGCATCTTTATTCAATATTTAGGTCATTCCTTGTGGGAATTATTTGCGTCTTTGAATACTCAGTTGTTTTTGTTTTAGTTGTGTTTTTCCAGTCATTGGACCTCGTAGTCCTAAGAAAATTTATAGCTATTTTTTGGTTTTATGCAGTACATTTAGGCAGTCTGAAATACAGATCTATGAATATAAATGCTTGACTAATTATTGTACTATCTTCAGAAGCACATATTATACCCTAAAAGTTAAAGAAAAGCAGAATGCTGGAATGGACACACAAATCTTTGCTGCAATGAAAAGATTTCAGTACCTACCCTAGATTTGGAATTGCCCATTCCCATTTCAATGTCCTTCTGTAGCCGTCTCCTCCTGCACTTAGAAAAGTTAATGATCCTCATGATGAAATAGAAAAAAGATTTGGGGCTTGGTACAAGACTGAATGGTGGAGGTAATGTTTTTCCATCATCAAAATACGATAACCAAAGTTTAGAACGAGCGAACTTCCACTCTACATCACTGTCATCCTGTGTTAAGATAAAAACAAAGCACATAACTGTTTTTATATGAGATGCAAAACTTCTTCCAAATGAAACTTCTTTTAAATACCAACCTTTTCTGGTTTTACATAAAATGTTATTTGCTTGTTAGTAAGACTCCCAGTAGTTCTGCAAAAATGTAACCACTTTATCAAGTCTATTTTAACTAAATTTCAGTTGTCTCTTTTTGGCAACGTCTTATTGACAATACTTAGTTAAAGCATTTGAACCATTTAAACAAGTGTTATTTTTGCACTGAGTGAAAGCCAACATATAAACTCCCTACTATTTGAAGTGGAACTTTTTTCTTTTTTTAAAGTCTTGTTTTTCTCATTGAAGTGGTCACATGAATTTGGTACTCACACAACTGACAAAGCATTAGCTTCAAGGCAGACATGGTTTAAAATGTTAGTACTTGCAGCTTTTTACATAACCATGAAAAGTAAATCTGATTTATAATGGAGTACAGAAAATACAAACTTTGTTGTCATGAAGAAATCATGTTAAAAAACGGCCAAATTCATTTCGTCTTAACACATTCTTACTGAAGTATTCCAAGGCTGGACTTGGTTTACTCCAGAGGTGAGAGCTTTCTTTATTGTAACTAGTTTTCTCCTGCTGAATTTCCTGACATTGCCCAGAAGTCACTGAAAATACTGGAAATGACATATCCATTTGTACACTATGTCTTAGAAAATTTTTTTTTTTTCCTGCTAGTGTGGGTGTGCGCCCACATCTATGTGAATGTAGTGCTCTTTGAATAACATCAGAACTCATGGTCTGGAAAGCTGGCAGTATAAATGTACTTTTACTTTCATTTCAGCAACTTGGGATTTATTTTTAAAACCCAGGTATCTTCTCTACTTTAAATTTTCTGAATTTTTTAATTGGAGTTGGACGCTAAATACTCTAACTAATTCTCTTTAAAAACAAAGATATTCTGTCATCGTAATGAAATTAACATAAAATATATCTCTTTTAACAAGCAATGCAGCCAATAACCTTGTGTGAAATTCAAGTATTCATTCAACTGAGCCATTTGGCAGATTTGGAGAAATACTGCCACTGTGTTTTCAGGGCATATGGCAAAGCTCAGTAAACCTAGAATCAAGTCTTAATATTGTACCTAAAGTGGAAAAAAAGCACATATTACAAACAAAGCGTGTAAGCATTGTGCAGTGTGACTCAGTCACAACAATCTTGAAGGTAAGTACCTGTATCATACTCCATGTACAGAGACATATAAATATAATAAAGTATGTCCATGTATCACTGCTGTGCATAAGTGTCTAACTCCTGCACATTTAGCTAAAAAGTTTGAGGACTGGAACTAAAAACCAGATTTCCATGAAAGAACACATCAAAATACATTTAATCCATATCCTAATGATCTGTCAAAGACTGAAGTGCACTACATTAAGGAAACATGCGATAAGCACCCTAAGCAAACTGGCAATGAACCACCCATGTCTAAAATGTTATGCTCAGTAACTTTGTTTTCTACCTCACAGCAGTCTTCATTTGTATATTACTTTAGATTTTAAGATTTCTGGATGGAGGACATCTCCTTAGATGCATATACATGGCACAACATGAACTACTTATTCAGATCCTGTAAGGTTCTGCAGCTTGGCTGGGTTCTTAAATAGTGTCAGTCCTAGCAACATGGTATTTTTCTGGTCCTTTACTGAGGTAATCTCTTCACTGTACTTTTGCCTATCAAGATGTACTCATTGATATAATTGCTAGTAATTCTGCCCTTTTTCAACGTAACAAAAGAGAACAACTTGAGAACAGAGCCCACCTCAATTTCTTGGTATGAACTGTTGATCATAGCAATCAGCATGTTGAGCAGAACTACCACCATCGTTACATTATATATGCCATAAAGAACATAACCAATGTTCTCTATGAACTTATGATCATATTTGAGGACAACAGAGGTGACTTCAGACAAGCCAAATATTGACCAAAATAAGGTCTTGAAACTTTCTTCCACTCTGTAGGAAAAAAAAAAGAGGAAGGCATTATTACTAACTACACAAATAAATATATCAGTTGTGTTTACAGTAAATGACAAACAATCTCAAGTAATTTGTCTGTGAGCCAGCTTTGTAGAGCGCTAATCAAAACAACAAACATGCAAGAAAATATTTTTCACACTATGTTCAATTTCTCCACCTATCCATCATAGATAATAGACTTGTAATAATACATGCAAAACAACACTCCAGGAATTAGAAAGGTATTCTACTTCCAGAGTTTGAGATGAAGCATATTCTCATCTCATTATTTTCCAGTCTAACTCCGCAGGGGGCAGACCTTCCCTGTCCTAATAAAGCTAAAAATGGGGCTGATGGGAAGGAAACTGCTGCACTCCTTTCAAGAGCTTCTGATTAAACCTTCCATTAGGAAGGGTGCGCTCAGAAGTGGGTAGCAGCAGGTTCAGCAACAAAACTGACAAAGCAAATAGATTTCACGGGAATTGTCCAAGACTTGTTGAAATCAGTGGGAGCCAGGCACTTCCAACAGGAGGAAGGCACCTAAATACCCTTTAAGGCTCTGGGTCCAGGACCCACTGCCTCTATGCTCTTGTCTCCATCCCATGGTCAGGGCAATTCCTGGGGAACTGAGCTGCCAAGGGCTCTCAGACAGCTCTACAAGCCTTCAGGGCCTTTGAGAGTGGATCCTCTCCAAGCTCTCCTCCTCACTCTGCCATTCCTCTTTCCTCTCAGGAAACATTGCTACAGGTTGACCTGTCCTGCAGTCAGGACACAGCTCACTGCAAAGCTCTATCCTGCCTCACTGAGAGGTGGGCTAACAAATGCAAGCTAAGAGATGTTGATATTCAATAAAGATTTTGATGTGCCTTCCATTGTACCCTACAGAGTTTACTGGAAATGACTTCTTCCTCCGTGTTGCCAAAAAGTGAATCGTCAGCTGTATTTTAATAAGTGTAACTAAAATACGCCAGTACACGTGTCTTGAATCACGTGTTTTAACACTGATAAATGATTTTTAAAAGCAAATAATATCCGAATGGATGTACAGTCTAGTAAAATAGCACCACTGTTTAAGAAATGAATATTAATAAGCATTCAAATAGTATGCATACTAGACACCCAATATCAAATAATGTAACTAAAGTATCATTATATGTCATTATTTATCTAAAGAAAAGACAATGAGTAACAGCAAGGGCAAAAAGCAGGCTCAAATTAAGGAGAAGTCATGGAATCAACTACATGAAAATATGGCAGTTTTTACAGAAGTCATGTCTCCTGTAGAAAGATAGGAGAAAAGGAAAAGTTCTGAATTTCACCATCCTGTGGAATTACTTCTGGTTTGGAACATCCTAAATATTTATCACTTCCAGCATCTCCTTGTTTGAGGAAGTAAAAAACCAAGCAAACAAAAAAAATTTGGAGATCATTGCAAGCAATCTCATTGCATGAAGAGAGACTTGTAACTACCATTCTGCTGTACTCAAGTGACTAACAGTAATAAGCAGTTATCATCTAGACAGTAAACCAGGATCCAAAAGAGTCCAATGCAGTTTATAGGTTTGTTTTAGTACTAGTTTAAGAGAGAAACATGCCGTCTACAGAATCACTATCTCTGTTGCTTGACAAATTAAAATTATTTGGAGGCCTGTTATTGATACCTAGGCTAAATCTCTCTGTGTATCAGTTAGGTCTGACAGAGCCCAGTTAAAGATTACAATTCTAGCAGTTGTTTTGGGAAAATGTCATTCAGAAGATATCGGTAATTTTTTCTTGCATTTGGTTGTCCACGAGTCTGTGTAATTAACATAATATACAGGTAACATTATTTTAGACTGCAATGAAAGCTTCCATTATACAAGTAGGAAAGAGTTGGTCTTTTGTATTCTGCTTTCTAAGGTTCTGAGATACCTGATTTTCCACTGATTTCAACTGTCTTCAGTTTTATTTTAATGCTAGGAGAGAGCACGCAATACCTCACAGACATTGCTACCTTAGTGAAAAACCTGAAAGTTTCATACTGGCTTTTTACTTAAATGTAACGTCATACTTACGTTGTAAAGGCTGGGTTTAGTTTAGCTCCAAGGTAGTAAGAATACAGTATGAACATTCCAATCATAAATGCAAGAAATACCATAATAAAAAGGACCATAAACTTGAAGATGTCCTTAACAGTCCTTCCAAGTGAAATCTGCAAGGGCCCAAAACTCTCATTTGCAGGCAGGATGTACGCAATCCGAGAAAAGCTAAGAACGACAGCAATTGCATAAAGGCCTTCAGATATTATCTGAGGATCAGATGGGAGCCATTTATCTCTAGCTGGAAAACACAAAATATAGGGGTAAATATAAGGAGTTACTCATTTATCACAATATTGAAAAATAATTCTTGATAGGATTTTTCCATGAACATGTCTGAATTTACTTGAGACAAATATTTGAGAAGTCTAGTAGTTGCTACTCTATTCCTATTTCCTTTAAGTCACAAACAATGAATATAAGTTACATGACCTTTTGCTAGAAGAAAAACTGTACTTGAAGAAACAACATTTTTGTCTATAGTTTGTATTTTAACCTGAACTATATAACAATAAATAATTCCTTATTGCTCTTCTTAATACAACTGCATTATTAGTTATCTTAATAAGCACTATGCTAAAGCCAGAAATTTATTAATGTTTTGTGTTTCATTGATGGGAAGTTAACAGTGTTGGTTGATGAACAATTTCATTTATTAATCACACCAAGCTTTTTTCATTGTTACAAGTTCAGGATATAACCTAGTTCCCATTGAAATAATGAAGATTTTTGCCATTTACCTCAATGGAAGTAGGATCATGGTTTTTACAGAGAATATGCACAGAAACAATTGAGTTTATATATAAGTTAATAAATTGTTTATTATGTGAATTAATGCACCATCTTAGCAAAATAACACTAAATTAAGATGTGTTTCATATCAAAATACATATGTAAATACACATTTAGAAACACATGGTACAAATTACAATTGATTACATAGCAATTAACGTAAATAACAAACCCAAGTCTGCTATTATAATATATTGGAGTTCATAAAGCATATGCTAAAATACACCGTCAGCAGCAAATACAGCCTTTGCTGGTATTGCAAACGTAGACTCATCACACCTTTAATTACAATTCCTGCACTACAGTAACTATTTAGTACTTTTATTCTATTTGAGCAGATCTTTACTGGGCCAGCATCCTTCCTTCAGCAGGAAATGCTGTCAGATCTTTACGAATATGAATAACTGTATCAAGCAACTGAACTAACCAAAAAAAATTCACATCAAGATTTTCTCTGCTGTGCACTAAGCCAAGAATAAAATACACCTTGTAAATGTTTAAAATCAAAGAGGGTGAAATTTAGCTCTAAGATAAACAGTTACAACAAAATTATGGACAGCTACATTTGAACTGACTTTGTCCTTATGCCTATTGTTTGGTTTTAATATATTAGCAAACTTATTTGTCAAATTTGCGTCATAACACCTACTGTTTAAATAGCATAGAAACAAAAATATTGAGGCAGAAATGGTTAGACAATGCTATAAACACAAACATGTGGAAATATTCATCTTAAGGCTTCAAAATGCTAGTGCATCCTACCAGGTTTTTTTATGTTCAGATCTGTGTTGCAGAAAAGTTAAACTCACCATAAGTAAAATACTCTATTTCTGGAGGAAGCGTGACCTCAGAGAGATCATTCTCCTCAATGTAGTTGTCCACATATTGTTGCGCTTTTGTGGCCTGCAAGAATGCCAGAAGCCTTGCTGTGAAAGCAGCGATGAAAATGGACAGCATCCCAAAATCCAAAACATTCCATAACTGCAAAATATATTCCCTGGGTCCTTCCAGCCACAGCTCTTTGCATTCTGACCACATCATACCTGCAACAAGAAATGAAAAAGACATAGCAATCTTGGCCAAACTCTTTTCATTCAAACTCTCTGCATTCTCCCATTTCATGAAACCACGTGGTACCAGAGGAGCAAAAATACACTTATCTGCAGTGTCACAGTGTCATCATATACCTTGAGTAAGGCTCTCGTGGTTTCAACAGGATTAATCAAATGGCAAGGTATTAATTGATATGCAGGAATAAAGCTCAGACATCTTCATGGCTTTGCAGTGGAAGTATTGTGGCCTAACAAAATAACGGTATGTCATACTTCTAAAGAAGGAAAAACATTAAATGTGGAAAAAGAATGCCTCTCATTTCCTTACCACTGACATTCATAACACACTTCTGAATCAGAAGGATTAATTTTTACAGAGGAGCACAACTACCCAACTACACAGATGACCAAATATAAATGGTACAATTATACTACTGGTTCTCCACTTTACAGAATAAAATGCTTTTCAGCATCGAAAGTGGAATTTGGCTATGTGTAATTCAGTTTTCTTACTCAAGGTTCTCCTCAGAAATTCATTTATGCAGAATTAATCCAGATCACAGCCTCATCATAACCTAGATGCAGTTGTTGCGAATCAAGACTTTCTCTTCAAAAAAATTTCTTAGGAAAAAAACCCAAACAACAAAACCACAACCCCACAACTTTTTTTCTTGCTTCCCTGGCTGGGTTAATTCAGAGCGGTACTGCTGCCATCCCAACCATACGCACAGCAGCCACGCACTCGATTGGTTTGAAGCTGCTTGTCTCTGAGTGCCCAAGAAACTACTCACAGTGACTGAGTCCTAGAAACCACCGAAATCTCAGCCCTTGCCTTCCATCAAATAAAGAGGCTGCTCCCCACAAGTATATGCTGCGACTACCGAAAGGCAGCATAGAAGGGATATGCATCTCCCTACCCTAACATAGGTTCAGATAAAGCTGTGCTTAAACCAGGAGATATAGGTGATTCAAAAGGTAAAGTGAGGCACCTTCATGCAGCAGCCACAGCAACACTTCCTTTCTCTTCCACTGCCTGTAAAAGCTGAGCATGCTACATTATCATGTGGCTAACAGACATTTTGCTACACAAAAGCACCTCACTGGCAAAATGCTAGAAGATAGCATTTTCTGCCATACAGTTTCAAACAGGCTGACAGCTGATCAGGTTTTGTGAAAAAAACTGAGTAATGAGAACTGACTCATTAGACCCTTGGCACTGGTAGAAACTGTAATTTCCCCAAATGCGACCTAGGCAGCAAGCCACACAAGCACCGATGTGCTAGCACATTAACACCGAGCAGTAGGAACTCCTGACCTTCTGGCACATAAAGCAGAGTAGGCTTCCTGATACTATTTAAGAAAACCACTTCAGTAAAGTATAATTTCTGTGGCGTTCTCTTCAGCAAACGTGTGCTCCTGTTACAAATGCCAGAATCACCGAACAGTGCGGCAAATCAGCAAATAAAATTTTACCCCATGCTGCAAGAGGGTGCAGCACAGAGATGCTCTGATGGTCTCACCAGTTCTAATGCGCTGTTATCTGCCTTAAGGGTTTATCCTAACCGCGCAGCAGCCGGAGCAAAGGTTTAGGACCTGGGCTTCTCTCCCTCCTTTTAAAATTAATATCTGCAAGAAAACAGTTGACAAAGATGAAGGGGCAATATACCTACCAAGTACCCATACCATGATCAGCATTTCTGTCCAGGTGAACTGGGTAGTCTTCACCCTAAAGATCTGCTTAGGGTAATCAGTAACAGTGACATTCGGCAGCGTTGTTATACCTTCAAATCTGTCTGAAGCATTGAACACCAGCAGGCCTAGGAAAATAATGAAGGATGCTGCATGTGCCACAAATTTCATAAATGGACTTCGAAGAATTCTTCCAAGCTGCAAAGGCAGAACAAAAGCAGTCACTCAGTTTTCTCAAAGAAACAAACTCTTTCATCAGGCATTCCAGAAGCATAAATGGGCATTCAGAGCTCAGGACAGTCTGAAACCTCATTTTTAAAATATGCTCTTCCAAGTGCACTGAACTGTGATTGCTTTACCATTTCAGACAAAAGTCTCCCGAAGGCAGCCTCATGGAGTGTGTTGTCCTGTTAGTGAGTGTTCATGTTATTGCATAAACTCTAGATGGCAATGTTTGAGGGGAAACACTCCAAGGAATTACAAATGTACAATGGCTGTGACCAGAAAGTTTCATCTAATGCCCACAGATAACAATGGGGAAGGCAGAAGCAAGCCCATGGAAAATAAATAAAATCTCCAAGTAGCAAAAGGCTTTCCCTACTAACAAAAGCGTACTATTAGTTTGTCTATGACTATAGCTCTAGGAGAAATTAGACTCATCTTCTCATCTCTGGCTAGTATATTCCATCCACAGAACACATGTTCCCATCTCTGCACAAGGTGTGACAAGGTAGATGCTAGACAAACTTCTTCATCTTAGTTGCTGCACACCTTTTAAGGCCAAAGGTCTCCTGTCTCCTTCAGTACAACAGAACAATATACTGCTCCGCACATAATGCCCGACCTTTATTAATGTTAACACACAGTTCTAATGTGATAAACTATCACATACATCACCAATATTATGCAAGATTCCAATATCCCCTGTGAAGAGCTGCATTATCACCAGTATTGTATAAGAAGAAAAAAAACAAGTTCAGCAGATAGGGAACTGGAAGTAGCGTTCTTATTTCAAGGAATGGTCTTCCTGAAACTGGGGTCAGCTACTATGAACTAAGCGGACCAGCACACACTAAACGGCATTTACTACCTGTGTAAACAATCTCAGGTTCCCTTCCTGTTCCTGACCTTTAGAAAGCATTTTGAAATTACAATATCAAACAGCTGATCTGAATGTACAGTACTTTTATTTGACATGAGCATTAGGAAAAATGTCAGGTGTTTCTGGTACTGGGAATTAAAGCTCAAGGACAAATGTCACTTTTCCATATTAGACATCAGCTAAAAATATATTGATACATTTCTATGATATGGAGCTGTGAATGAGGAATATCTTTACTACAGATATTCATAGAACGTGACATTTCAGAGAATAATGAGAATAACTATTACACGATTTTCATAAAAAGGCTTATCTTTAAAGTAAATAAATATTTAACCCTGAGAAAACATCGGGTTCCCTTGAAATATGCAGGAGATGAGCAAAATCTTACCCTTTTTGAGGTCAACTACAAGAGCAAAATATAAATGAGTGAAACTCACATTTCTTTGCTGTACACTTGTTAAGGAAATAAAATTGAATGACCACGTTCAGCACAGAATTAGATTTACTTAAAATTTAAGAAAAAGTTAATGTAACAGAGAAATATTCCTTCTTCTGATTTACCAAAGATCTATCAATATGCTTCATTTGCAGACAATTCACATGCTACAGACTGTAAAGATTTCAAAGAAACTGCTGTTATTTTCCTTGTGAGATCATCAGGAAAGCTGGAAACACCTATATATTTTCAAAAAATTTTGAAGAGGTTAAAGTTTACAGTTGCACTCTTTTACAAATATACCCTACCACATGGTTGGAATACTGTGTTTAATTTAATTTCTGCTCTATGGTTCACCTGGTAAACAGACCTCCTAGGGCAGGAATAACAAATATCTTACTTAAGATTAAGTTCTGCATCAGCGAAGTCAACAGATGTTCTGCTAATGGTTTATATGGGAACAGCATCAGATCTTAAGATGCCATCATAGGAGACCTAATACAGAATCTGAGTGGTGACTTTCAAAAAACTCCATGTTACTAATACAAATACAATTACATAGCAGAGATTGTGAGGTGAGCACGATCTATGGAAATTTAAAAAAGGAAAGAAAAAAAAAGTCTCAGAGAAGGGTTTTTTTCTTTCTTTACACTTAACAACAATTTATTTTCATGCTTCATCACTGTGGTCCCCTCTTTACAATGCAAATAAAACAAATAGCATCTCAAGACTAGAGATTACTAAAAATATAATTAATTAGTTAAAATTTGGAAGCAGCAGAATTAGAGGTACAATGTTGCATTTTGAATGCCAGAAATTGAAAAACAGCTCCCAGCATAGTACAAAACACATAATTTATAAAATTCAGTACCCTGCTACATGGTGCAATCCAATAACCAATGGCTAGAAATGGAAGGCCCAATGCCACAACCAGCACAACCAGACACTTGATAGCTATGGTCTGCTCCCGTAATCCTGAGAGATTTTCATACCAGATAGTCAGTAGCTGTTGCTGACAGTTTGGATGGGCCACAAACTGTAAAGAAAAAGAAAGAAAACCAAGACATATCATAATTTGTAAGAAGAGTTACATAACTACTAAATACATGACCATCGCCTTAAATATCTGGTGTTAATTTAGAACTTAAGAACCATGTTTTTTCTCCTTTCCTTTAAAATAAAGGTTAATAAATAAAGAAGAAACTGCTGAGGTGATTTAAAGCAGCACTTTGGGGACAAGGTTGCACATGTGGACAGCCATCACTGATAGAAGCCTTTTATGCATTTTTAGAACAGCTTTGCATACCCAACTGGATCTTGTCAGAGTTGAACCTCAGTCCTGACTTCGAACAATTTCTCAGCAAATCAAGCTGATCCAAGGTACATGCAGAATTTCTGTGGAGACTGAAAGTTCTGGTCTGACCATAATCCACCATTAGCCTCTCCCCCTCCTGCACATGCTCTTCACAGACCTCCTCAATCATCGCCATTTGATCTGGTTCTTTGACAAAGGCTCCAAATACCTGCTTAACCATCTATACGTTTTCAGTCTAAAACTTACTGAGGCAAGAAATAAATGAAGCAAAAGTACAGCACAGAATTTTAAACCTTACCAGAACATACAGAGATTAATACTGAAAGGGTGAAAGGGTTTCTTCTTTCTTACTACCAATGGTGCTAGCTATCACCTCTACTTAGATGTACTTGGGATTTGAAAAATAATCAGAAGCCACTTACTAGAAACAAATTTTTATGTTTGTGGAAAATAAAATTTAGCATTCAGTAATACAAGTAAATTCCATTTTGTGAACCAGATGAAAAGATGACCTTATGGTTTTGATGATGCTCTAAGGACTCTGTAATAGATTGTATTTTGCTGTATAGTTTTGTATTTTCTCTAAGTTCGTGCCCATCTCAGCTGAAAAATACTAAATCCTCAAATTCGACAGTTTTCAAAAATAACTTTTTCTTTTTCACTGTTTTAAGATTTTAAAAGACCCTGAATGTACAGATTGTTATCACTATACAGTCTTATGCTATTCTTTGTGTTTTAATGAGTTAATAGCTTAACAACACACTGCAGAAGCTCAAATAAGATCTGATGGGTATACTCAGTCATTTATGAGCAAGATAGTTTTATTTTTAATGAATTCTTTTATGAGATGTTCCTTTTATCTTTGCTGATTAGTTTACATTATTATTTATCAATATTAATTATTTGCTTAATTTATTTCTATAGCAGAAGAACTAAAAGGTATCAAACATAACAGAGGAAGCCACAAGAGTAGATGTGTACAAATATCTGAATTAAATATAGTCTCTGATAAAATGACCAAAAGTTGACACTTTCAAATTTGAGCACTTAATTTTATAAGACAATATTCAGGCATTTAAACAAGAATGTCCTGATTGTCAGTAGTCTAAGCATACACAGCTACCACCAGATTTCAATTCATTGAATGTCGGGCCATTTTTGGCATGTTCAACCCTACATCCAAATCTTGGTACTTACTTTTCTTGTACCCAGACAGAGACATGTGAAAGACCGTTTTCAAATATACTTACTCTCTTCTGACCTAACTCCAATGCCCGCTGAAGTCAATGGTAAAATTTCAACTGACCTTAACTAAGCAGAGCCAAGACATCATCAAGGACTTTTGTAACCAAGTGCTTTAAAGTAAGGGGAGGAAGCCAGACAAACATCAGGACAAAGAAATAGGGCATCAAGTGAATTTATTGGGATCTAGTCATAAAGAGACAACCAGACAAATGGAAAAATAGGCTTAGGATTAATGCTCAGCTTCTCTGCAGACAGTTATTACAACACAAACTTGCTCTTCTGAGCCTTTTGTGTAAGTTCCATCCATCCATAGCTTCCACAGATTCTTCCATGTCCCAAAATTGAAACGGAGCAGAGATTAAATGTTAAGATACTAAACTGGCATGGATTAAGGATCTAGTACCCAATTAAAAAAACCAAAACCAAAACAAAAACAAACAAACACCAGTCAACTTCCATCTTTCTCCTTTGCAGCAAATACATGCAAATGTTATTTTCCTAGCTTCAGTAAGATTTCAGTATGTTCACAGGGAAAGGGAGTGATTCCCAAATGGAACGATAAAACAAGCTGCTAGCAACAACTGCATTTGTTTAGATATGCTTTAAGTTTTATTTTACTAAAATCACTTTTGGTTGAGTTTGTTGAAGGGTGAGCATGTATTGATCTATTTTTAAAGCACTGTTTTCTTTCTTTATTTATAGTACTTCTTTAGCATGAAGCAATGTGGACAAAGGAGACTGTGCAGCCACGCCATCAGGATCATGTAGTGTAACCAGGAGTGTGTAGCTTATGTTGGGTGCTGCTACTGAAAAAACATAAGGGGTGGGAAGAAAGAAGAATTCTATAGCTCCCTATGTTCTTTGCCTGTTATATTTCTGGTTAAGTCCATTTCTAAAGTGTTATCATCATACTCATCATTATCACCATTACTATTACACCATGACCTGTGACACTGCCACATCACAAGAGCATGTGGGACATCAGTTAAGCACAAGGGTAAACGGCCTAGTTATCACAGCAATTTGAAGAAATCTGGTAATATACTTGTCACATTGGTTGACAATAACTAGTAAATCAGAGTAAAGAATGCTAGGCAGTTTCACAAAAAGGATTTGAAAATAATTCTGATAACTCTGATAATCCATGTTGGATTAAGAGTGAGATTTGATCTGAGTTGCTTATACTTTAAAAAAAAATACTGTAAACCTTGGATAACCATTTTATTATCCTTTGTACTCTGTTGAGATCATAATGTACTATATATACTGGTTTTTGCCAGCTCTTGCCTGCAAAACTCCATTTATATTCCAAATCTCATTAAAAAGTGCATACAGTAGAACAATAGGATAGACTTCTTAAAAAAAAAAAAATCAGATTAAATCATTGGCAATGAAAACAGGGAACCTTAAAACTCTCAAGAGGAGGAATCCGAAGCTGCTTCATGAACTTTAAAATGGAAGCAATCTTCATATTTTAATCTATTTTTCTCTAAAATAAAAGTCCCCAACTATTTTAGTGTGATTCATTAACCAGTTAGATCACATATTAATGCAGTTTGTACCTACAGGGGAATGGCCAACAGAAATAAATAAAAATATTTTAAAAGTCTTTTAAGAAATTAATGTCACCTTGAACTATGTTTGTATTCTTTTTATTAGGCTGTCACCTTTGAAGCTTATGCACCATAAAAACTGCCAGCCTGGCCCATTTGAAAAAAAATAGACTGTTTTTTGTGTGTTTGTGCATTCTGACATATGTCCCTGGTCTCTTCTTTTGCTAAGATAAATTTCATTCTCAATTCAGGACATCAAGGGACAAATCCCACAGAAGATAAACTGTGGCCATAAACAGGAAAGTAAACAATTATTTCAAATTACACAGACATTTTTAAAAAGCAGGTTTAAAACTAGAGAAGAGGAGAGAGAAGAAACACCCACATCATTCCTCCTACTACCAGACGGAATGGGAAGAAACAGCAAAGGAGCTTTAAGGGAACTCGCCTAGGGCTATGAATCGGCCCACAGGCCCTCTTGCATCTCATCCAGATCTGTGTGCTAGTTATTCCTCTTGGTCTATCAACATTTTTATCTAACTCTAAAAGGACATCTGCCTGTGCTATAATTTCCCCAGAAAAGGGAGGAGTTAGTGAATAAGATGCCAATGGTTATGGCAAGTTCTTTGGCAGTAAGTCTAAGGGCCCTTGAGAAGATCTTAGCACTTATTTAACTGTTGGCACCTGCACAATATGCACCACTTTGAAGCCCTCAGAGCAACTCATGTCACTTGCCTCATCCATATAAGCTCTGAAATTCATCCTTCTCTCTGGCTCTGCTGAAATATTTGAATTTATGATTATGTTATTTTCAGGAACTGCAGCCTCTTCTGTGTTCCCCCAGCCCAGTATATCTGTCTCCCCACCAGCTTCATCTCCTCCAAGGACAGTAGGTTCACATCATATTTCACCTACCAATCACATCATCCTACAACTTTGTTCCTTCTGCATTTCTCTTCTCTCATCCTACTTTTCATGCAGCTTCTTACTTTTCATTACATGTTGATCTTATTATCACATTTATCTAATATTTTAGGATCCAGTCCAAACCCCAGTGAACAACGATGCATGGGGACAGTATCTGGTCACTAAAAAAATAATACCGATTTTAACTTAGCTGCTCTTCCAGGCATAATTGACTGTAACACTTCAGATACACTCAGTTTCATGACCATGAACCAACTCATCAGTATGTAAATATTTTTCTGTATTACTGGGAGTGATTATAATGTTGTTTATTCCTAACATCCTAATGAATGAGTTTAGACATTGCAGAAACAGATCCTGGCACACTCTGATACACAAACACACAACATACAAAGAGAATTTTGAATCTTCTTTCTTATCTGCCAATTTGAAACTTCAGTGTTTGAAAACTAAATGCTGTGATTTTACTCAAACTCTTACTGATTTCACTTGGAAACTCCACTCTGATTTTTATCTCAGCAAGAACTGCAGAACTTGGCCCAGCGTCACCAACTTCTCTGAAATTTTGTTGGCAACCTAAAGACAGAGTTAAGATACAATACTAAAAGCACTACTTGCAGCAGCAATTCAGCATACAGAGCAAGACTACTTGTTCTAACTAGTTTTTCTTGTTAATTCCCTTAGTCCTTCACTATTGGGGCTGCAGTTTCAGTCTGAACTGTAGCTTCAAACTCACATCCTGTTTACCCAATGGGTTACACTTTAATGCAGTGCCTAGGGTATTAAGTGCGAGAGTTTCATTACTAATAGAATTAAAAACTCCATTTCCCTAGCAATGAACTTCTGAGCACATTTGCTCACTTGTCATAGCTTTTCCTGTCTCTCCTCCCTCTGAAAAGGGCATGCAGCTCATTAACCATTCCAGGGACCTGCAGTTCTGTTTGGCTGTACTATCTGTCTGGCAACCGTGAACTGACCTTAACGTAGCTGACCCAGAAGTGCAGCTATAAATACTGAAAGCTAAGAAACATAAGCCACATCCTCATCGTCTTCCTACAGTCACAGGGTTAAAAGCATCCCATGTGGAGTTCTGAATCTGTTCTACAGTCAGAATATCGCTATAATCTGCCACTGCTGTAATGGAGCTGATCCCAGCACCAAAGGACCACCATGGCAGAGACATTTCCTGCCTCAGTCCTTGTCATCCCCTCTGGAACAGCCATTTACAGGGAACAGCACATGTAAGAATATGGTAACAACTCTGCACCATCTATTTATTTCCTTCCACCAAGATCGTTAGTCTTGTAGGTTCTGAACTGTATTTGTCATGAATTGGAGTCAAAACTTTGAGTTTATCTACAAATAATTAATCTCTTGCAAGAGAAGAGAAGTAGTGTGCTACATGGAATTGCCTTTTTTTGCACTATGTAGGTTTTTGTTATTCCTAACAGACCTGTGTGGCCCTTTGCTCAGCAATGAATTTAATCAGTGACAACGACCTCTTGGAAGAAAACCAGAGTCTTCAGCAAGAAAGCTGACACACGAGTCTTAGCAAAGGTTTGGTACACATTAATATGCAACAGCATAAAGAATTCATATTTTATTTAGATATGATAACATGTTTATGTACTTTCTTTCCCTGTTCCATTCTTTTTAATTAATTTAATACTTGTATATATTTAACTTGAATTTTGTTAATTAATATGTATTTATCTGCTGTAGACCAATTCTATATTGGAAACAACAATTTGCTGTTTGGGATCTGCGTTTACAATTTTTGTTAACTATCTTTTGGGGACATAAACACCAACATTTCCCAGTTTTCTGTCAGGTTGCTTAAAATTAATTTTATATGGCAGATTGGGGCTCAACAGGTGGCCACAGAATACAGTGTTATTTATTCTGAAAGACACAAGACTTCTTGCAGAGATAATGAAACTATAATGGCTGTTAAGAATGGAAATGATGCTAACCTCGTAAATAGGTAGCTGTAAATAATACATAGGCATTGCAGTATTTCTTGAGTCCTCTCACAGTAGGACACAGTATTAACTATTTTCTGTGCTAGGGTAGCGGGATCTTGAAAAGAACAACATAGCTATATATTGAAAACTGCTACGATAAATGGATATGCATTATGTCAGATGTGTGATACACAGCTCCATTTTTCAACACATTCATTCACAAAATAACTGTTCATTAAAAATTACTTTGAGAGGCATCAACTGAAAACACATTGCACTTCACAAAACACTGATAAATACAGGTACAAAGATGAAGAACTGACATGAACTGATTAACTAGCCACAAATATATTCCATACGTTTTCAGGACTGAATTTGAACTATTTTTTAAAGGAACCCACACAGTAAATCATGTAGAATTTCTCACTACAACCCACACAGTTGCAGATGAGCTGTTTGATTTACTGTTGTATTTTTAAATAAATTAAAAAATTATATACTTAATGACAACTTAGATGTTCTCTTTTTCAAAGTAGTAAAAGCAAGACCTTTTTTTGGAAAAAAAAAAAAAAAACAGAAACAAAAAAAAAAACCAAAAAACACCACCAACAAAAAAACCCCAAGCCTATGTGATGATAGGAACACTAGTAGAAAGCTGCAAGACTTACTTCCCAGAATTTAGTTGCCCAATTAAGTTACTTAAGTTAGAAAGCAAAAGTAATAAAAAGAAATAATGAACAAACCAGTTCTTTTACTTGGTTGAAACCAACACTTTCACAAATACAGCCTTCTCTTTGGATTAGATATTATCACACACACTGGCAGGAAGACACATCCTTACCACCTTCAATGAGTGAAAATCTGGCTCCACTGAAATCTCTTCTTTTGGCTTAATCAGGAGGAAGATCTGACCAACTGTGTATAAGCTTGCTAGCACAGCTGATTTGTCATTAAAATCTCCTGCCAATTCTCAGCTGTGGAAAGTAGATTAAACTAAACTCCTTCACTGTAGTCCCCTTCTGCCAGCTTCTGCCTTGTGAGAATCTTGATTACACACACTATGTCTCATTAATGCATCTGACCACCGGTTCATAACGCCTGTGGAATAATGAGATGACACTGTGTTCCTATCACACTGTCTGAAAGCACTGGCTATGAGAAGTTACCTTTTTGACTTCATACTTAATGGCCAGCTTCACACGGCTCAGTGATGCTCTGTGTCTCTGTGCTTCAACTGGCTCAGAGTTTAAATCCCCATTCAGAATGGCCTCCACTTCTTCCGAGTCTCGGCAGAGATCAAGAACGCCAACCACAAAATCCTTGCACTGCATAGACAGCTTGCGATAGTCATTCTGAAAAAGAAGTGTTAGAGAAAATGGCCTGTGATGAACATGCTTAAGAGTCAATAGCAAGGAAAAAGGAACCCATACAAGCTGCTAAAAATTAATAGTGTTTGTCTTTCACATACTACGTCAAGTTAGCAGCAGATCATTATGGAATTTCTGTACAGCAGAATCATCTCTTCTCTGACACAAGGCAGCCACTTGAACAGAAGATTATGACAGCTGTTTAACAGAGCATGGGAATATTATCTCAGAGCATGATGAATATAACCCAGATGGGCAGCAAGGGGAAGTTGAATGGAGAAATAAGAATTGCATGAACAAACCAGGACCAGAACTCTTGAAATACTAACCTCACTCTTGCAAAAACTTTGCAGACAATTAATGAAATAATTCTTACAGGGTTGCCTCCCAGGCTATGAATGTATTTCTGCTCTTTCTACGCTGCTAAAATGGCTGCTTACTCTTTACTCTGATGTATACCGTATTGACTTCCTCGCTTTGCTTGCCACTTATCCTTGGAACTGCTTCACCCCCAGCAATGTGTACAGTGGGTTACAAAGCAACTGCATAGAATAACTGTGGCATGAACTTGAACACCAGTCTTGTGCACAAATACCCCAAATTTCTTGTATAGGCAACATGGAAACCAGCTTCTTCAAAGGACAGTTCAAAGATAGTAGGCTCCCGAGTCATCCTCCAAGAGACAACCTTTCCACTGACAACACAGCTGAACTACAGAGAGACATTTCTTAAAACCTCAATCCTTTTATTTAAGAGCTCTGTTGACCTATCCCCTCCTCTCCCTCTCTCCTTCACTTCCCTGTACCTGTCACAAACCATTCCTTTTCCAAAAATCACCTATTAGTTTAATCTCCATCTTGTTTATTCTCACTCCATCAGCTTTCCCTTCCATTACTGCTGGAGTCAACAGCTCTGGTTGCATTACCTTCTGAAAGTATATAAAGCCAACAATTGTTTTCTGTTATTAAAAACATTGCCCCTCCTCCTTTAAGAGTGCTTTTAGTAAAGCACTTCTTTTTCTTCCTCACTACTTCCATTTTTGCACAGTATCATTGGCTGTTTCCAACTTGCAGCTTGTTGACTATAGCTTTGAAGTCTTACTGTGTCACGTTGAAAAATAACTACATTTTGCTGGTCCTTACTCTTTCTACCTTTCCTCAGCTTCCTTCAACACTTTGGGACCATGTCCTGAGTTTTGCCCATGTGCTGTGATCCTTTCTGTGCAGCTATTAAACTACTGCATCTAAGGTGCAGTGGCACTGCTTTTCTCTATGTTCATACCTTATGTCTGGCATGCTGCTCACAAGCTTCATGCTCTTCATCCTTACTCTTTTTGCTGCCTCCTTACAAGCAAGTTTACGTCAATCTTTGAGGTGCTACCTTTAAACTTCTCAGTTGCTCGTATATGTTGACATCGGAAAGATTTCCATCTATCTAATAATCTCTCTCTTCTGACAAAACATCCGTGGCTACATTTCAAAATTTTACGATAACTCTGTTATCTTAAGTATGCACATGTGAATCTTTGCTTGTGCTTTTGTTTACACTTGTACACATCTTCCACCACTTCTGTGACATTACCTATAAGTTCTTACCTGATATCTACTTCAGTAGAAACCTTGGTCTTCATTTATGTGTCCATGTTCTCTCAGCGAGATTTCTAGGACTTCTTTATCTGAGATACAGCCTCTGATTTCCTTGCATGAGGCTACAGTTGGAGGAGAAAACTTGATTGAACCTGCCAGTTCTACCCTGTTGCATCAAGTGTTTCAGTGCCTAACTGAAAATAGCATAGCCTTCTTTTTCAATTACTCCACAGCTTTTCTTCATTTTTTTTCCTCCCACTAGGCCACCAAAAGACTAGTCCGAGTCCTTTGTCTTCTCCATTTTCGGGTGTTTACTGTTCATTTTCAGGCACTACCTTTTTTAAAATCACTTTTGGGGGGTACAGATTTTTCCTTTGTGGTTCCTGCCTTCTCAAAAATGTTTCCTTACTGCTTCTGCCCTCATAATTTTCTCACTTAATCTCAATTTTTTTCCTGAAACCCTCACTTTTTCCCCCTTGCCTAAGTAACTTTTACCTCCTTGTATTGCTAGTTTTGTTAAATTTTCAACTTAGCATCTATAAAATGGGATAGAGAAACTAACGTGCTCCCAGTAATTGCAAATTGTTTTGGGAAAAGATGGGAAAAGCGGCTGCATAGGATAACAGCAAGATTCAGCTATCAATCCCATAGGTCAGATTCAGATACGAATCAAAATGAAACATTACTGGAGACAAACAAATACTACTAGGAATTGTGTTATTATGGAAGACTAACATCCCAGATGCAGACTTGGAAACAGCCAGTCCTAATCATAGACCTAAACAGGACCCAGTTATTTCCTTTGGTCATAGATGGCAAATTAATTCAGTTGTCAGTGAACCAGCAGGATGTAAGGTTATTTTTAGATTTGGTTTTGGTAACCAACCAAGGAGAACAGTACAGAATAGCCAATTATAAAAATAATCCTGGGATGCGTGATTAAATTCAGTGAAAGGATAAGCAAGCATATGTATGGCTAAGATGTAGGACTTTTAAAAAGGCAAAGTCTTGTAAGAAAGCTAGTCAAGGGAGTGAAACGTACTTATAAGCATGGAGGTCCAAATGCAGAGAAGGCTTTTAAGTAAAAGATGTGAAGGTGATTAGACATCAGATCCTACAAAAATAAAAACCTTGCAGAGGAAGACTCCAGAATGGTGGCTAGAATAGCAGTCTTCAAGAAGACAAAAGGGAACAGTCTTTCTTGACAGTCTAGTCAAGAAGGAAAGTTTCATCATAGAGGCCATGAACTGCAAGTATAAACTGCTAGAAGTCAGGCTTGTAAAGGATACTAAGCAAAGCACAAATAGGTAAGACAATACAAAAAGAAGATGAGACAAAGTAGAGACTAAAGACAACTCTAGTAAAGCCAAAAACAATACCGTGCCTTCAGTTTACTGAAGACCTATGTTCTTAACACTGTTTATATTGTTTTCACAACAGAATTTCAAGCAAGAGCTGCTTACACATTCCACTACAGGTAAAGAAAGTCATTTACTGAGATGGCTGAGCAAAAAACATGATATTAATTTCATGTAGTATTAATTCAACAGGAATAAGACTGGTAATTGATTTTTCTTTAACACTGTAAAGTAGCTGTAAATCTGCTATTTGCAGCACACAGGAGGATACACTAACTTCACTAACTTCAGTAGTAGTACTATGCAATTAAAAGAGAAACTACATTCTTTCTCACTTGAATTTGCAGGCACTTATAACTTTACAAGAAAGTCTTTGTTTTAGTATTATTTCTATTTATCCTATGCTCAAAGGTGAAATCTCATTAAGGTTTAATACAGTTGAGTAATACAAAACCATCTGAAGTGCTTTGTAACATATCACAACCCAAATTTTTTCCCTGCAAGCATGAATACGGGCTGTCCAGTTAAGGGTAGTGGCTTCATTTACAATGTCTTTTCTCATTCCTTTGCTAACTGTGGAGAAGGAGAAATAGTGGACTTCTTATAGTTAGGAAATAACAAATTACTCTTGCTAAAGGTTCACTCCATTTTCTTTACCATTTAAGTATTCTCTTTTTCCTCAAAATAACACAGAAATGTAGTATCAAAAGTTACATTACCAAGAAGTTACTCCTTAAGAACTTCCAAAATAAAAGACAGGAAAATCTGTTTCCTTGTGTTTAAGCTATAACCAAGTCTCTCACACATGCAAGTGTACAAGTACAGCGTAGCATCAGGTTCATAAAATGTAAACATTCAAGTAAGTTTCTGCTATAGTCACACACACAGTTACAACAAAAGATCGACACACTTTTCTTGATTAGTACAAACTAAGCAAGAAGAACATGTTTTCACAGGCAGTTACAGTTGTGAAACATTGCCTACAAATGTCAAAGTGGTGTAAAATCACCTTTGGTAAAAGGGGGACAAATTGTGATTACGGTATCATCACATGAAGACTGCTGTTTCAATGGACTACAGATTGTTTCCTTTCTCTGTTCTCTCATGGGTGGAGACTCATTCCCACAAGTGTGTGAGAGCTCCTGACTGATCCTGGCAGAGGGTGCAAAGCTCCTGCCCTCACAGCTCACACTGTATTAACTGGTATCCCGAAAAATACACCCATCCACTCTGCGAATAGCCTTGCTGGTTCCTGAAGGACAGACTGCTTTGCATGGACTATTTGCCTACTACACAAGTTACCTACATTTTTACTGAAAAATTAACAGTGCTATGTGTTTCTTGATAGGTGGATAGACCACTTGCTTATAGAATTTATGCTTATTGCCAGATAAAATTAAAGATATGACGGATTAAGTTTAATGCTGTCAAATTTAAGGATTAAATACAGGCTACATTACTTACAAATGCTGTTACAAGAACTGAAAACCAGTATGTGCATTGTTATCTGACTCAGGTGTTGAATCTCATGCTAGGAAAACTTGTCAGATTTCTCTCTCCAGGTCTTTACTTACTTATGTATTAGCAAATCAAATTCATCTCAGTCTATCTGATTGCTTTACAGAATTAAATAGACAAACACTACCCACATTGCAACCATGGGACCCAATTCTCAATCTTCTACCTCCAGGGCATTGTGTGAATAGCAAAAAACAGAATCTGTGGTCTCAGTCATCCACATACACCTCTGCTTACTCTTGAGAAGATATAAATGAAGCCACCAGATCACTCATCTCTTCCATCTCCTAAACAAGACTACCAGAACTCCCCATGTGAAGCATCCATGTTTGAAAAGCCCTGCGACATACTGTGCAAGTTGCCGATTCATCAACATAAAGCTACTCTTCAGGGGTACACCAAACAGAGTAAGGCACCAATAGACCTACTTATACAGTGAGGTTCTTTGCCTATTTTTGTCATAATACAGGAACTCTGCTTCCTTGATCAACAAAGTGCTTCTTCAGTTAATTCACAACCTAAC